CTAGGAATTATCCAACATGGTTTTATGCAGATTCCCCAATTAAGAGAGCTAAAGGGGTGGCAATTGGGTTTGCTAAAAATGTAAGGTGGGAGGTGGAGGAGAGAGAGACAGATCCTGAGGGGAGATTCTTGTTTTTGAAAGGTAGATTGCAGGAAATAGAGTGTACAATAGCAAATATTTATTGCCCAAATAAGAGACCAGAGGTATACCTGAAAGGGATATTAAGAAAATTGATGGACTTTAAAAAGGGAAGACTGATAATGGCGGGAGATTTGAATTTATGTCTGGATCCACAGATGGATACAACTTCTCGTGTGCAACGAGAGGGAGGTAGGTCTATGAGGACCTTAAAAAAGGAGATACATGAGGGTCAACTAGTGGATATATGGAGAATAATGCACGGAAAGGAAAGAGACTATACCTTCTTCTCTAATGCACACGAGATTTATTCGAGATTGGATTATATAATGGTAGAACATCAACTTATTGAGAGGGTGGTTAAAGTAGAAATAGAGACAATGACTCTCTCAGACCATGCCCCAGTTATAATGAAGGTAAGATGGGGGAGACAACTGACAAGAGGGGTAGGATGGAGGTTAAACGAGGCCCTTCTATTAGATCAAGAGATTGATCAGCAGATCAGACGGGAGATGGAAAGATATTTTCAGGAGAACGAAACAGGGGATGTCTCAAGTGGCCACTGTCTGGGAGTCCCATAAGGTATATATTAGGGGTATATTGATTGCGCTAGGGGCAAAAAAGAAAAGAGAAAGGAGTAAGAAAATGACAGGGCTCTTAAAAGATATAAACGACCTGGAACAGATCCATAAAAATAGAATAACATGTGAGATAAGACAGAAGGTAATAGGAAAGAAGAAAGAATTGGAGATATTAATGGAAGAAGAGAGGAGGAGAGTACTCAATAAAGTTGCAGGGGAGAGGTATAGATGGGGAGATCGACCAGGAAAATATTTAATGAAAGCCCTGAGAAAAAAAGAAAAATAGAAATTACATAGAAAAAATAAGAAACCCCAAGGGAGAAATGGCTCACTCTACTAAAGAGATCGGGAAGGTGTTCAAGGATTATTACAATAAGCTGTATAATATTAAGTCTCAAAACCTAGTAAATAATAGTGAAAATGAGAACAGAGAAAAAAGAAAGGCATACTTAAAAAATGCAGGACTACCAAAGATAGATGAAGATCTATTGAAATCCCTGGAATTAGAAATCACACAGGAGGAAATAAAAATAGCACTAAAAGATACTAAGGTGGGGAAAAGTCCTGGCCCAGACGGATATACCGTGAGGTATTATAAAAAATATAGTGAACTATTAATACCAAAGTTGAAGGAGTATATGAATGCCCTGGGTGGAGAAATGGAGATTAGACAGGAATCCCTACAAGCCCATGTAACACTTATACACAAGGAAGGGAAGGATGCTACTCAATGTTCTAGTTATAGGCCAATTGCACTCCTAAATATAGATACAAAGTTATATGCAAAGGTTTTAGCAAATAGGATGAAAGACTTAATGCCAGAATGGATCCAGGGAGATCAGGTTGGTTTTGTATCGGGGAGGGAGGGTAGAGATAACGGAATTAGAACTCTGTTGTTGATCCAGAAAGCTAAGAAAGGGAAAACCCCGGCAGTGGTGCTCTCGATCGATGCTGAAAAAGCTTTTGATAGAGTAAACTGGAGCTTTATGATGGATACCCTAGAGATCATGGGGGTAGGTGGTAGAATGAGGGAATGGATAGGAAAATTGTACAAAACGCCATCCGCGGTTATTTTGGTTAATGGTGAAAAATCTGTGCCTATAAGGATGTCAAATGGGACTAGACAGGGATGCCCACTGTCCCCATTGCTGTATGTGTTAACATTGGAACCTTTGTTAGAAACAATTAGGAAGAACGTAGATATAAAGGGAATACAAATAGGGGAAACTGAACATAAGGTGGCAGCTTTTGCAGACGACCTGTTGTTTTATGTGGGAAAATCCTAGGATAACACTCCCGAATTTAATAAAAAGCTTAAAAGAGTATGGAGAAATATCAAATTTGAAAATCAACCCGACAAAAACTGAGATCTTGAATATAAATCTTCCAAATAGTGAGAAAGAAAAGATACAAAAAGAATTCCCTTTTATATGGAGAGATAGAGAGATAAAATATTTAGGAGTTAAACTTACTGCTTCATATACAAAATTGTATAAATTAAATTTATATTTCCCTTTTAAACGAGATTAAGGAGGAATTGAAGAAACTGGGAGGAGGAACCCCTTCCTGGTTAGGACGAATAAATCTGATAAAAATGATAATTGTACCCAAAGTTTTGTATAAATATCAAATGATCCCAATAAGACTCCCAGAGGCATTTTTTAAAGAAATTAAAAAGATGATAACAAAATTTATATGGAAAAATAAAAAATCTAGAATATCCTATGATTTGATGAGTAGAGGTAAAGAGAGAGGGGGATTGGGAGTGCCAGATTTTAGGAGATACTATAATGCTGTAGTTTTAACAAGAATTTATGATTGGACACACAATATAAGGGGGAAAAGATGGGTGAAGATAGAGAATGATCTGAGTGGAGTTGACCTGAGTAGAAATATATGGGCACCAGCACAATATAGAGGCTTAAAAGAAACCACGAGTGTGTTTACATTGAATGTTTTAAAGGTTTGGGATAATTTACACAAGTATATGCATTGGGATTTTAATTCACAATTAATGTCACTAAGGAATATGGAGTATTTTCCACCAGGTATTGAGGGGAGTATGGGAAAATGGATCAAAAAGGAAGACATTCAACTAAGGGATATTATGGATGGACAGAAATTGAAAACATTGAAAGATTTAAAGAAAGGTGGAAGGGAACTTTTTATTAAGATTGATGAGTGGAAATATCACCAATTAAAACACTTCGTTGAGGGTCTTCCGAAACCCATAAGAGGGAGAAAGGAGTGGAACTTGTTTGAGAGGTTGTTGGAATCACGGGGAGATGGAAAACGGGGCACGGCAAAAATTTATAAAATTCTCACTGAGTTAGTCACGGAAGTAAAACCAAGGTACATAGAAAAAATGGAAAAGGATTTGGGGGTAGAGATAGATGAGGATAAACAGAGGAAAATATATAGACTCACACACGAGAACATTAGCATGAGAGAGGTGGAAGTAAATTATAAGAGTTTAGTAAGATGGCACATTACACCAATTGTGGAACACAAAATGGGTGTAGAGAGAACACAAGAGTGTTGGCGTGGGTGTGGAGAGATTGGTACGTGGTTTCATATTTGGTGGGAGTGCCCAAGGATTCAAAAGTTTTGGGAGACAACGGTCAACTTAATAGAGAAAATCTCAGGAATAAAGATAGGATTAGATCCACAAGTGTGCTTATTACATAAAACAGATTTACCAGTGAATAAATATAAAAACTCGGGTATATGGTACTTTGTGAATGCAGCTAAGGGTTTGATACCTAAATTCTGGCATAGTTTAGAGGTTCCGAGAGAGAAGGACTGGGTAGAGAGAGTAAATCAGATTAGTAAGATGGAGAAACTGTACTATATCCAGGAGGATAAGATGGAGATATATAATAGGAGATGGGAGAAATGGGAAGATTTTGTACACCAAATGAGTATACATGAAGTAATGATAAGAGAAGATTCTTAAATTTTATAGGGAAGGAAGTAAGAGAAAAATGCAGAGTGGGAGGGTGGAGGGATGTGGTAGGGTGTAGTAGGTAGAGGTAAGGGAAAAAGAAGAAAAAGGAGGTAATAGAAGGAGATAAGAGTAAGAATTTTATATGAGAATGTAGATGAAATGTATTGTTATGTTCTTCTTTCTTGTTCCTCTTTTTTCTTTTTATATGTAATTATAAATATGAAAATTTAATAAATATTTGAATTAAAAAAATAATAACTGAGATTGACATCGGGTTAGACCCAGAGGTCTGCTTGCTACATCGCACAGAGTTATCAGTCAGCAAATATAAGAAATCAGGTTTAGGGTACTATCTAAACGCAGAAAAAGGTCTGATCCCTATGTTTTGGAGGAAAGTAGAAGTACCGAAAAAGGAAGACTGGAAAGATAGAGTAAACCAGATGAGAAAGATGGAAAAGCTCTACTATATACAGGAAGATAAGATGTGGATATACTATGCGAAATGGAAAAATTGGGAAAAATCGGGAATAAATGTGAAAAAGTGAAATATAGGATGATATAGAGTGAGTTGATAGGTAGGTGTTTCTTGCTTAAGTCGAGAGGTTGTTGAGAGAATGCAGAGTGGGTAGTTGGGGGGGGGAGGGAGGGGAAGGAGGAAGGGAAAGAGGGGTGGGTTGGGAGGTGGAGGGAATTGTTTTTTTAAGGGAAAAAAAAAAGGTAATAGGAAATAGTTATGTATATGTAATGTGAATATGATGGAAATGTGTAAATATTTGGAAAATCAATAAATATTTAAATAAAAAAAAAAAAGAATGGGCAGACTGGTTTGAGAGAAAGATAACAGTAACTCATGTCAATATGGACAAAAATCTCTGAGGAATGTTTCAACACCTTGAATCTATGCCAAGAAGAATGAAGGCAGTTCTGAAGGCAAAAGGGGGTCCAACCCAGTACCAGCAAGGTGTACCTAATAAAGCAGCCGGTGAGTGTATATTAGGGCCAGTTTAGACAGGAGCCAGTTAACCTACGAGCTTGTCATTGGAGTGTGGGAGGAAAATGGAGTACCCAAAGGAAACCAACAAAAGCACAGGGAGGACAAAATCCATGCAGTAGTGCCTTAGCCAGGATTCAAAACAAGGACCCCAGTGCTACAAGGCATAGGTGCTAATCACTAAGCCACTGCACTACCCCACCCATGAATACAATCTGTGTAGTCATGTCATAAATAATAAGGTGACTGAGGAGAACTAAATCAGTGTCTGATGATAAAGTAACAATGTAACCGTTGTAAACTTCACACAGTACTACAGTGCATAATTCTGTTTTTGTTTCAGAAAATATTGCCAAGATAACAGGATCATTGTTATTAGGGTAAGTTCATGTCTCCATGATTATCAAAGAGATAAGAGAGAAGAGAAAGCAGACAGTTAGATAATCGCACCTAAATTATGTAAGTGCCAGTAATATGGCCCCAATAATTATGAAGTTGGTGTTAATGTCTATTAAACAGTTTGGGATTAATAAGTAATACATTTTGGATCAAGGTAGGTAAACTATTATTTCAATTTGACCCATAAACTACCGTACGTTTAAACTAAACTAAGTTTACAAAAATATCTGTCCCATGCTACCCTTGAATTACTTTATTACAACTGCATAAGCATTTAAAGTGTATGTACAGTATAGCACAAACTTCTTTTAAGTTTAGGATCGAGTAGGGAATGGTTAAGCCCCATATCAGGTTGCTTTTTTGCTCGCTGTGTCATGCTGGGGAGATTTTACTTTACCTCTTGTTTTGAAGAGGTGTCTCTAAAGTGGGTGGAATTCCCATTTTAGCCATTTGTCACTAGAACATTTATCCCCCTTGGAAGAGTTCCTTTCTTTTCTTTCTCTCATGATAACTCTAAGCAAGGATGCAGATGGCAAAAAAAAAAAAAAAACTTGGTGGAGGGTGTAGTCCTTCTGCATGCTATCCTAAACTAAAAAAAAAAAAGTTTTGCTTTTACATATGCTTATTCTTTTGTTTTTTGTGTGTATGTAAACGATTTTAGATGCACTTACACGTGCAGGCTCTTCAAGCAAGCAAGACACTTGCTTGTATTACCAGTACCCCAAATCATTAAGTTTTCTTTAATTCAATAAAGTGGTTTGGTGTGAACATGACCATTTTAGAGCAGTGGATTTGATAAATGTGTGCATTTTACCTGCACTGGTGAATGCTGTTAATTCTTGAAAGGACTTTACAGGTCTTAGGTTGGCCACACAGCACAACCTGCAGCTGCAACCCTGTGCAGCCTGAGGATCAGGTGCCGGACTCAACATTTTAGTAATTTTTTTACATAATAGTTAAGTATTACTTTGCAAGCATTTTTCATTACACTTAAGCCAACAGCAATAGCAACCAATCTCATTGGCTACTATTAGCATCACCTCCACATGAATTTGCTTTGCTTTTTCTACAGCAGCTCATCCTTCTATAGTTATTTTGCACCCTGTTTTAACATTTTCTTATTTTTTTATCAGGGGATGTTTGCTTTTCACATATGAAATCCAGTCTCTTAGAAGGTCTATTACGCTTGATACACAGGCAGTACGGCAGGAGAAGCTAAAGTCCTATATTTATTTACAAACCGTCCCATTGGAGCAAAATGACTTCCAAAGTAAGATTTCCATATATTATTTTTTTTTCAGTGATTATGACCTGTGCACTCAATTGTGCAGCAACAATTCTACACAGATTTAATTTATGGGTTAACAGTAGGGATGTGCCGAAACATATAGGCCGAAAAAAAGCCCTATCGGCATTTTGCTGATAGGAAAAATGTAGCCGATACAGGTGCCTGTGTGTACTGCAGATGGGGGGGGGGGGGGAGGCAGCAGAGCAAGGGAGGAGAGGAGCAGTGTATACAGTGACTGGCTGCCTATATGTCAGTACCAGTTTTTAAATGTAATTGCCAGCTTGTTTTTCCTTTACTATAGCTCAGAGAAGGAGCTGTCATTCTTGGAGGGCTAAAGGAAATAAAGGATCGAGGTCACCAAGTGACATTACCCAGTGTCCCCACCCCTTTGTTTCCTTTAGCTCCGGGGAAAAGTGGCAGCTCATTCTCTGAGCTATGGTGGGAAAAAAAGCCTGTAATTACAAACCGGTACTAACATATAATGACAGCCAGTGAGGGAGCCTCTCTGTATACCCTGCTCCCTCACTGTATACACTGCTCTTCTCCTGCCCCCTCCTTCTACACACTGCCCCCCCCCCCACCCCTACAAAGAGGACCAGTTTCTTATATGCTTTCACATAGAGCACTATTGGTCCCCTATGTGATAGCAGTAAAATCACAAGTTAAAACAAATAAATAAAAATATACATTATTAAGTAGAAAAAAATTGGAGCCTCCCCACCCCATATACGCAGATATTTTGGTTTTGGTTCTGTTTTCGGCCACATGCATTCTGAATTTTCAGTATCGGTTTCAGCACCAGAATGTTCATTTCGGTGCACCACTAGTTAACAGGTGGAGGATTAATATAATCAATATAGGGGTTCCATAAATACAATTGTATTTTAATGCTTTCTGTTACATGTAAAATCAACAACAAAATTCAAGATGTTAACAGTAAGATGGCTACAAAAGCAAAACGTTTTTCAACACAGATCTAATTCTCCCCCCCAAAACGCTACAGTTAGTCATTTTAGGGAAGTCCATTCCACAAAAATGCTTTCTAGGATACCTGCACTGGAGCCAAATATTCCTTTGCTAAGGGGCAGTACACTATCACTATTCCTTAGCTTGGATGTTTACCTCACCCTTCTCTGGCTGCTGCTCAGCATGGCCCTATTTATATTCATAGCTGTATTTGTTTAATATGTTTTGTAGATTTACATACCAAAGCAAATGAAAATCTGCCTAGTATCTTCAATGAGTGATATCCCACTCATATTTCAGAGAGGAAATCCACATTCACACTAATTGATGCCTGAGGTTTGGTTTGAAAAACTGTAATCAGTACCTTTCCTGAAATCCTGGCAAACATTCTCCAAGTTATGAAACAGGAATGCAGTTACGTATGTCAGGTACAAATGACATCACTTTGCTTTGCTACTTAGGTTGACTCCCCTTAGTTGTAATAGGGGTTTTCTGAAAGATCTGTACAGGGAATTACTCTTGTCTTGGAGTTTGGTCAACTCAATGTGTCATTAGGTGGTCAGTCAAACAGACTCAGATTCAGCAGGCTGATGGTCAGATCAGCTACAGACAAACAAATTCTAAACAGAGACCAGGTTCCAGATGGGTAGACAGAGCTATGACTGACAGTAATATCCATGGCATGAACACTCAGATAGAAGTAGGGCATACCTGACTCTAGGAAGTGACTAGACAAATCAATCTGTTGATCAGGCGCATATGGTTATTGTCCAGCAATCTACTAAAGCACACTTAATAAGGGCAGGTGTGCACTACAGCATAACCTGAACTGCAATTCTGAATGATGACCACCAGGTCAGAGGCTCAATGTTAATTATTTCAGCATTCTCCTGTGTCTTTCAGAGAGTGGAACTATTGTTAAAGGTTTTTTTGGTATACAGCCAATTTATAATTTAGTTACTAAAGAAAAACAAATGTTTCACTAAAAATATTTTATATACATCTTGTAAGTTCATTTTGGAAAGAAGTAGCAACTTACATGCAATATTAACTATCTTTTTCAGTACTGATGTGTTCTTTGTACCTTTAGGTTTTACAAACAGAGTAAGGAAAGAACTCCACAAAACAGCAAGAAAAGCTTTGGAAGCCTCAGCCAATATTTTTCAAAGAGAGAAAGATAGAGGTACATTTTTTTGCCCCATTATTTTTCAGGCCAGTTTTTATGAACAATGCTTGTACAAAATGAAACTATGGAATATCAAACAAACTTGAAATCCATTAACATTTACCTATAGCCAAACAGTTTCTAGTTTTTGATAAAGTGAGGAAGGGTGAGAAATGTCATTTTTTTTTTTTCGATCTGTATGTCCCCACTACAAATTCACACTCTTTATTCATTCTGGGGAGGATACTTCCTGAGACAGAAGGTAATGGGGAAATGTTAAAATCTGCTGTACATTAAAGAAATAAGAAACTACCTTTGAAACTACATTAGCATGTTAAGATACATATGAACCGTTACCTTGTAAAATAATTAATTTAGTTTAAAATAGAAATGCAAGGCAAGACAGTTTGTGCACTTACACTCACCGCCCACTTTATTAGGTACACCTATTCAATTGCTCAACACAAATTCCTAATCAGCCAATCACATGGCAGCAACTCAATGAATTTAGGCATCTAGACGTGGTGAAGACAAACTGCTGAAATTCAAACTGAGCATCAAAATGGGGAAGAAAGTGGATTTAAGTGACTTTGAATGTGGCATGGTTGTTGGTGCCAGACGGGCTGGTCTGACTGTTTCAAAAACTGCTGATTTACTTTCTTTCTATCTTTCAAAGAGAGACCGATGGAGGTATATTTTTTCCCCATTATGTTTCAGGCCAGTTTTTATGAACAGTGCTTGTACGAAATGAAACTATGGAATATCAAACAAAATTTGAAATCCATTAATATGTAGCTATAGCCAAACAGTTTCTAGCTTTTGATAAAGTGAGGAAGGGTGAGAAATATAAAAAAATTTTTTCAATCCGTATGTCTCCACTACAAATTCACACTCTCTGCTCATTCTGGTGAGGATACTTCCTGAGACAGAAAGTAATGGGGAAATGTTAAAATATGTACATTAAAGAAATAGGTAACTTCCTTTGAAACTACATTAGCATGTCAAAATACATGTGACATATGAACCATTACCTTGTAAAACAACCTATTCAGTTTAAAATGGAAATGCAAGGCAATACATGTGTATATATATAAAAATATATACTTACACTTACCAGCCACTTTATTAGGCTTTATTAGGTACACCTGTTTAATTACTTGGTAACACAAATTGCTAATCAGCCAATCACATGACAGCAACTCAGTGCATTTAGGCATCTAGACGTAGTGAAGATGACTTGCTGAAGTTCAAACCAAGCATCAGAGTAGGGAAGTAAGTGGATTTAAGTGACTGTGAAGGTGGCATGGTTGTTGGTACCAGACAGGCTGGTCGGAGTAATTCAAAACTGCTGATCTACTGGGATTTTCATGCACAGTCATCTCTAGGGTTTACAGAGAATGGTCCAAAAAAGAGAAAAGATCCAGTGAGTGGCAGTTGTGTGGGTCGAAAATGCCTTGTTTATGTCAGAGGTCAGAGGAGAACGGGCAGATTGGTTAGAGATGATAGAAGGGCAACAGTAAATCATGTCAATATGGACCAAAATTTTTGAGGAATGTTGAATCTATGCCAAGAAGAATTAAGGTAGTTCTGAAGTCGCAAGGGGGTCCAACCCGGTACTACTCAGGCGTCCCTAATAAAGTGGTCAATGAGTGTATGTATGTATGTATGTATGTATATATATATATCATTCTTAATACCTTTTTTTCTTTTTTTATAAGTGATCACATGACTTCTGTTTTCGGCTACAGAAGGGCACCTTGTAACAAAGGGGAGAGGAGGACAGGCACAGTCTAGTGTAAAATGCAGAGGCAAAAGTGCATTGTGTGGGCAGGAGGGTTGTATCAGCAGGAGGCAGAGAAACAGCAGTACACTGATCTTCTCAGTAAAGAGAAGGGGGCATGTCAGCACAAGTCTGAACATTAGAGCATAGGCAAGCTGTGCTCTCAAGTAGAATGCAAAGAGTTAGCCAGGGGGCATGTCAGCACAAGTCTGAAGAAAGAAGAAAACTGACCACTCTAAGATGGACGTGCTTCCATGCGTAGCGTGGTCAGTTTGAAATAGGAAAGCAGGGTGCATGGCAGAATCCCTAGGTATTTCACACAAAGAAAGCAATGCAAAGAGAACAGGATACTTTTTCATAGTACATGGTAAAACAAACATATATCAGAAATATTAAATGTTGGGGTAACATACATTTTACAGGAGATTTTAATGAGTGGGTTTAGAACTTGAACAGGCCCTCACAGAAGGGAACATATACTGAGCCAAAGTTATAATTTTTTTTTGTAGCCCTTCTTGAGTGGTATAATCACAGAGTCTTCTTGAAAGCATAGATGTAGGTGGGGAAAGCTGGATTCAGAAAGGAATCATGTCCTTTCACATGGGATAAATATATGATTTGTGCATTTTATGTATTCATTTTCTTGTAAGAACCACACAGCAAGTGTAATGTGGAGGATCATGAGTTTCCAATGTGGCTTCTGTTGAAGAAAACCCAGTCGCCTGAAAAAATGGTCCGCCTGGAAGCTGTGGAAAGCTTGGCTAAGATCCATCATTGGCAAGGTAAGTAATTAACAGATGGTATTGTATAAAGTAGATTTTGTCTTGTTACAGCTGTGTTGATGGGCAAATACAACATACTATCAGGTACATTGAGATCAGTTTGGATGGGGAAAGAAGCATTTCTAACATAAACAAAATCCCATCAACATAGGGTTTATAGTGACCAGAAGACACTATGCACATTTTTTTTTACTGTTTATCCAACATATACTTCTACCTCCCAAAAATTGTCCTCTAAAATGTTCACCTGTATTCTGTTGAATCAACAATATTTGAAAAGTGTAAACTACTCTAGCCTAAGAGCTTTACATGCAACGTATCCGAGATTCACCCCTCCTATATACTAATTCCTATGGAAGCACCATAATGTTTAAACATTAATATGATGCATATACAATGGATAGTCTGCACTAACTGCAATGTATGTCACACTTCTCCTTTTATAAATGCTCGCCAGCCCTGTGCACTTTGCAGCCAAAAGGGATCTACTGTATCTCCCTTGCCCTAAAGCAATACTGTGGCTGATGGATCTCTTTTAAATGAATTGTATCATCACATTGCAGTATTACATATAGCTGCCCTTACTCAATGAGAACAATCATAAACATGGAGCATAAAATAAAAATTCAAATTTTAAAAAACTGCTAGTCACATTCATAAACATGTACTGTGCTGTATGTAAAAGCGTACTTTTTATTATTCATTTTATGTTGGTTTGCTTCCAATCCTAGAACTGCAATTAATTGGTCCCAATGTTTTAGTTGTCAATTGTCTTTTAAACTCCTGCACAGTTATATGTAGCAAAACTGATCTAAAGATAACCCAGTGATTTTCAGTATTGCAGAATGTATGCAGATCTTAATGCATTCAAGCGTTGTTAACAGTGATTTAATAGAATAAGTTTAGTGGCTCTTTAACCACTTCAGCTGTCACACGTACAGTGATGAATGATGTACAAAGTAACTAATAAGAGCTAATCAGTTAAGCCAGATTTAGTTCTGCCTCTATTACATTGTTAATAGTGGGTCACTCGCTTTCCACCTTATCAATTTACAAAACTTCTTGTATTCTTTTCACAGAATTCAAGACATTTTGTGAATGGATGAGGGAATGGCGACTGTCATCTGCCCTTCCTCTCCTTCCATGCATTCATAGAATCCATTTCATTCTGTGAAAAGAATACAAGGAGTTTTACAAATGGATAATGTGGAGAGAAAGCGACCCACAGTCATCACTGTCCTTGAGCCAGAACTGTAAGTTTCATCTCCAGTTTCGTGCTTCCAGTATTGTACTGGATGAATGAAACTAAGAATTTTACTTAATGGAGCAGCATCCACACTTGGGACATCATTAGAGGTAATTTTTTCAAAGCAAATGTCCAGAAATTGTTTTTTATCTAGAGTTCAGCTTTAAATAGTCAAGAATATGTTTTTGGTGCATTGTAGAAAAAACATCAGTTTGTTTTTATCAAAATTTTTTTTTATTTCTTTAAGAATACCAGTATAGAACAGTGGCACAAGCATGTGATAGAAGAACAATTATTGGCTTGGCCAGGAGCAAGGACACAGACCTTCGTTTTTTCCTTCCACCTCCAACATTGCCAAAAGCAAATGATGTGAGTAGAAGATTGAGTCACATCTTATTCACAGCCATGTGTAAAAATGAAAAAAAGTCAGTTTGACTGTTATATTCTAAATCCCACTTGATCCTGAGAAAGAAAGAAACCTTCTTAAAATATTTGATTTAAGCATTTTGCTATATCTTTAGTGACATTAAAGTGTTACTAAACCCACAACAGTAAAATCAGTCTGTATATGCCGTAAAGCATGCTTGTTATACTCACTGTGGAACCTAAGGGGGTAATCCTCTGTATTGTGTAAAAACGTTGTTTGATCCTGACTTCTCTGATCCTCCCCTTCTTACAGTGACCCCCCTCTTATCTCCTGATAAGACATATGGTGTTGAGTCACTCTGCACATGCTCAGTTTGGTGTGTATTGCTAGAAAGGTTTTTTTTTTTTCTTGGGAGAGTGCATGTGATCAGCACAGGGCCAATTAGCACTGTCCAGACTGTGGGGTCATCATCCTCCTGAAGCAAAATTAGGACTCCTCCTACAAGCTTTAACATGTGCTCTGCTGGACACTGATAGAAGTTACAAGACTGCTGATGAGAAAAGGTATTTAGCAGTTTATATTTACTAAAATATTTGCATGTTGTGTGTACTGTGGGAAACCAGATATAGTGAATGCAGGGTCCTGAGTTTAGTAACACTTTAATCATTCTTGGCCCCCTAAGAATTCAAGCATTTTGTTATGTATGAGATTCTTCAGTTAATTGTGATGAAAATTGTTCACCCAGTAGAATTCAAGAGTGAGAAAAGCACTGGAATGCCATGAGACACAGCAGGGGCACACTACATATGCACATCAGCACCCATCAGTGTGACGCTTTACAGGAAATAGCCTTCATTTGTAGCTGGAGTAAAAACATTTTTCCTCCAACCATTAAGGGTTTCTCTTATTTATAATATAAACTTTTAAAATGAACTTGAAATTAAATCTCCTCTACCAGGTGACATGAGCCATGTGCTTGATACATACTATGTGATGCATACTATTCAGGTATTTATAAATCATCATCACTTCCCCTGTTAAGAATATCTTCTTTTGGGCTATTAGACCATCGTTTTTTCACAATTGATAGCCTTTTAAGATAATCTTAATAATACTCTGTATAGAATCCAGCGTTTCTCAAGCACAGAAGACACCCCCCCCTCCCTTTGCTTTCACTTTTTCTCAGCAGTCTGATGGCTCCCAGTGCCCTTGTGCAGTCGGCTGGTGATCGGGAGCTCGGGCTCAACTGATAGCCTTTCTCTACCAGGATGCGTCGGCACCCCTGAAGACCTCTAGCAGCACCCTGGTTGAGAAAAGCTTTTATAGAGGTACAGTTTTGCTTCTATAGGATAAGTTGATCTGCAACTCCCACATGTAACCATAAAAGTCTCTTAATTGTATCCAAAGGTTTGAAACATTCAGTGTACAAATATAGCATCAGTTTGTATCAGAAGTGTAATAGCAACTGGTGGCTTTAGTATGCTAAATACTCACAGTCATGGAGTCACCAGTAGGCAGATGGCAATATATATCAACTCAACGCTTGCCGTTCCAGGGCTGGCAGCCTTCTAGTTCCCAATGCAGTCAACCATTAAGAGTGGAGCTGTGTGTTGTACCAGCTCTATCTCATGCCTCTCTTTTGAGGAATGAGGTTGTGTATCACATTAAAAGATCAATAGGGATGATTAATAGGGAGGTGGGGTGAATCAAGCCCTACTTTTAAAGGAAGAATTGAGATTTGGATCAGCTTCAGATATTGCATCACTAGATCTACTTATTTTTTTTTTATAAGCAGCTTACTCTTCTAACCCTTGCCCATACATTTACTCAATATATGACCAAATTGTATTGCTAAAATTTGAGACAGTTTTAGTTTAACCTAGACAGCCATTTTCTTTTGACATACTGTAGTAATCCTAAGAATAATGGTTGAAGATTTTAATGCCCTTCAGATGACCAGTTTGTCCATTGTGTTGTTATTGACATATTTCCTGAATTGTTTGTCAGGATTATTCCATAGAAGATAGACTACGTCATTTGCTGTCTTTCCTACCTCAAAGTGAACTTGACCAATGTATAAAGTACTTTACATCGCTGGCACTAAGAGAGAGTACCCAAGCATTAGCAGCTCAACGGGTAAGTAAAGATTTCTAAATTTGAATCAGAACTGCAACCATGCATTTCCATATGAATTGATATCCAACTTTAATAATGGTATCAAACCACTGTTGATCCATAATCCCAATATTCACCCCAAGAAAAGGAAAGTAACCTTCTTGTAAGACTTCTGTAGACCTTGTAGAAAACATCTGTCTCATTAAACACTCAAAAAATACATATGCAAGCCATACGCTTAATGAAAACCCCTATTCACATACAATAGATAAAATACAATGATAAACACATACCACAGTAAAACCCATCCCTACAAACACTACCCCTGCTTGGACCCAGATATCCTAGTAAGACCACATCTATGCACAATATGTATTTCAGAAGACAGGTGCCTAATGTCCCAATACATATCAAAAACAGACACCCAGATTTACCTTAACCTTTTAATTTATAAACATATAACCATTTTTCATTGTTGATATTGTATCTGCCTTGTATCTGTTTTAATAATAAAAAAAATTTCTTGGACAATTCACTCTGATATGTGTAACCTTGAGTGTTCTCTGAACGATTTTCTGCTAATGTGAAATAGAGCACTCACTTTATACCAAGTGTCCACCTCATACTTTTGCTCATACAGTTGGCAGTGATGTAAATAAAGCACAACTGTAGATGTTTAACTGGCAAAAGTATAGCAGTCTCACCTCTATTTTGAATGCACCAAAACATCTTTTCTTTCTATTGCTACTGCATATAGTATTGACCCAATTATTGGTATCTCCAACATTGGCAAGGTGTGCATGCTGACACAAAAGGAACTTGGGTGGACAGTCCGAATCATGACATGCAGCTTGTTTCAGCAGGGTATGGCAGTCACACCTGTCAGGTGTCTGTCAAGTAATACCATTCTTTTTAAAATGTTAGTGCATAGAATGCCAATGTAGATACAGCAAAGACATTTGTATTTCCCAGCAACAGCAAGCCAGCTAATCTTGGTTATTCCACTAAGGTAAGGTATGGTGATTCTTTTGCTTAAATACACTCACTGGCCATTTTATTTAGGTACACCTTGCAAGTACCGGGTTGGACCCCCTTTCATCTTCAGAACTGCCTTAATTCATCATGGCATAGATTCAACAAGGAATTGGAAACATTCCTCAGAGATTTTGATCTATATTGACATGAGTTACTGTTGCCTTTCTATCAACCAGTCGGCCCATTCTCCTCTGACATCAACAAGGCATTTTCAGCCACACAACTGCCGCTCACTGGATATTTTCTCTTTCTCTGTAAACCATAGAGATGGTTGTGCATGAAAATCCCAGTAGATCATCAGTTTTGTAAATACCCTGACCAGCCCATCTGGCACCAACAACCATGTCCCGTTCAAAGTCACTTAAATCCCCTTTCTTCCCTATTCTGATGTTCGGTTTGAAGTTCAGAAAGTCGTCTTCACCATCTAGATGCCTAAATACATTGAGTTGCTGCCATGTGATTGTCTCGATTAGCAATTTGTGTTACCAAGAAATTGAATAGGTATACCTAATAAAGTAGCTGGTACGTGTACATATAATATGCCTTAATATGTGGTTCCACTAGCTTTGATATGGTCCTTTTGATTTTTTTTTATATATTTTCAGAGAGGTCTGTGGTGCTTTGGTGGGAATGGACTGCCATATGCTGAAAGTCTTAGCACAGTTCCTTCTGAAAAGTTGGAAGTGTTCAGCTTGCAGGCTTTATTAAAGCATTCTAAGGTAATGTGAATCACACTACTTCCTATGCCACCTCCATAGATTCTACATTTTTAAATATTCTGTGATTTGTATCGCAAATAGTTTTTAACAGTTCTAAATGGTCTCTTTTTTGGGAATAACACCAGAGTTAAAGTTAAATTAACTATACTGAAGTGCCTAAAAACATAGCAGGATTATCTCTCTGTTGTTTTTTTATACACTGCTCAAAAAAAAAAAAAATGAAAGGAACACTTTGAAAACACATCAGATCTCAATGGGGAAAATATCATGCTAGATATCTATACTGATACAGACTGGGTAATGTGTTAGGAACGTAAGGATGCCCCATCGTTTGATGGAAATTAAAATTATCAACATACAGAGGACTGAATTCAAAGCCACTCCAAAAATGAAAATGAAAAAATTATGCAGCAGGCTAGTCCTTTTTGCTGAAATTTAATGGCAGCAACTCAAAATAGTACTCAGTAGCTTGTATGGCCCCCACGTGCTTGTATGTATTCCTGACAACATCGGGGCATGCTCCTAATGAGATGACAGATGATATCCTGGGGTATCTCCTCCCAGAGATGGATCAGGGCACCTGTGAGCTCCTGGACAGTCTGAGGTGCAACCTGGTGGCGTTGTATGGACCAAAACATGATATCCTAGAGGTGTTCTATTGGATTTAGGTCAGGCGAGCATAGGGGCCATTCAATGGTATCTATTCCTTCATCCTCCAGGAACTGCCTGCATACTCTCGCCACATGAGGGCGGGCATTGTCATGCATCAGGAGGAACCCAGGACCCACTGCACCAGCATAGGGTCTGACAATGGGTCCAAGGATTTCATCCCAATACCTAATGGCAGTCAGGGTGCCATTTCCTAGCTTGTACAGGTCTGTGCATCCTCCATGGATATGCCTCCCCAGACCATCATTGACCCACCACCAAAACAATCATGCTGAACTATGTTACAGGCAGCATAACATTCTCCATGGCTTCTCCACACCCTTTCACGTCTGTCACATGTGCTCAGGGTGAACCTGCACTGATCTGTGAAAAACACAGGGCGTCAGTGGCAGACCTGCCAATTCTTGTGTCAAATGCCAATCGAGCTCTATGGTGCTGGGCAGTGAGCACAGGGCCCACTGGAGGACATCGGGCCCTCAGGCTACCCTGATGAAGTCTGATTGTTTGGTAAGAGACGTTCACACCAGTGGCCTGCTGGAAGTCATTTTGTAGGGCTCTGGCAGTGCTCATCCTTGCACAAAGGAGCAGATACTGGTCTTGCTGATGGGTTAAGGACCTCCTATGGCCCTGTCCAGCTCTCCTTGGGTAACTGCCTCTCTCCTGGAGTCTCCTACATGCTCTTGAAACTGTGCTGGGAGACACAGCAAACCTGGCAATGGCACGTATTGAGGTGTCATCCTGAAGGAGTTGGACTGCCTGTGCAACATCTGTAGGGTCCAGGTATCGCCTCATGCTACCAGTAGTGACACTAATCCTAGCCAAATGCAAAACTAGTGAAAAACAGTCAGAAAAAATTAGTAGGGGAAAAAATGCCAATGGCTTCCACCTGTAAAACCATTCCTGTTTTGAGGGACGTCTCATTGTTGCCCATCTAGTGCACCTGTTGTTAATTTCTTTAACTCCAAAGCAGCTGAAACTGATTAACAACCCCCTCTGCTACTTAACTGACCAGGTCAATATCCCAGGAGTTTAATTGACTTGATGCTATACTCTGATTAAAAAGTGTTCCTTTACTTTTTTTGCGCAGTGTATATATATTTATCTCTATATCCAGCTTCATCTGCAAAGTTAGGCAAAAATACAAAATGCCCAGCTTTCATCAGAGCTTTTCCTTAGACAAAAAATTTTATCTTTTTGCAATTTTCTAATCTCCTTGTGTTAATTTTATAGGCCCAGGTATCACTCTACATATCTGTTGATTAAATGTCTGTCATGAAACTAACAATTTAAAACTGGAGATATAAAGGATGAACACAGTTATGTATTCATTAATACATTATTTAATTTATATTAAAAAAGTAATCCAATATAAACCAATTTAAATACCTGAATTTCACTTGAATTTTACTTGAATTCAACCTATCATGATATTTTTTACAACAGCATCCAGGCTTGTAGCGGGAGGAGAGGTACTAGGAGCCACTTAGGCTCTGCTGTATGCAAATGTACTGAAAAGTAACAAGCTGACAGAAGGAGTATGCAGAATGATGATCCTATCAGTCCTTCAAGGTCTGGGTTTAAACTGGGGACCTCTGCCACGTCTGGTTGTAGCTCTCCTTGCTATGCCACCTGGCATGCTGCACAATTCCCTTTTTGATCCCTTGAACACATTGCTCCTCCCATGAATTTCCTGATTTAAGCCATGTTCTCTGCATTTTCTGTTTGCCAGTTTATTGTGCTCTTCTCCATCCAATATCCTGCTCCTTTAATTCCTGCTGCCATCTGAATTTTCACTACCACCCGTTACTGACCTTTGGCTTGCTCCTCAACTAGGCTTCTGCTTGATCCCAACCTGCAGCCACTTGTTACTGACCTTTGGCTTGTGTACAGACTATGCTTCAGTGTGATTTCTACCTGATACATCTGCAACCAGACCCCGGCTTGCTCGCCCTCTGGTGGGGCGATCCTGAGGACTGCAGCAAAAATCATCTCCAATATTAGGACCTTTGGTTAAGAGTAGTTAGTGTTTAGACCCTGTGATTTGGGTGAACCTGCATCATCCACCAGGGTGACCTGCCCTTGTGTTTATCCTGCTGGTCGGTGGGAGTCTCTCTATTGGTCTCTGAGCCTGACCCCTGATCGTGACTTGGTCTTTTGCTGCTCCTTCACTATCCATTCAGCCAACTGGGAGTAGAGAGATGTCACCACTGTGTTCCTTAACTGTAACTGAGAAAATGGTGTCATCCTGCTGCTTCTGCTGTGTGGTAAACCAGCAACTATATATGTATGTCAGCTGTGTATTTAGATGTTTGACTTAAATTCTTCTTTAAATACAGTTGTAACTACTTTAAACTGTATTCTGAATTGATTAACCTGAAATGTAAATATTTAACTGCTTTTGGCACAGCTCAAGATTAGAGAAGAGCAGCATGTAGAGTTTGTTTTATTTTGTTATTTATTTATTTGCTTTTGGGATATTTGCATTGAATTGGTAGTAACAGTTTCTATCTCATATTATTCCATGCTATTAGAAAGAGAAAAAAAAATACCTCTGTAGTATAATATATTGTACCGATGAATGGATGGTGGATGGCGTCGGCTGCTGCTGCTGAATTATGGTCAATGACATTGTTAAAAAAGAGTGTTAAAACATGATTAACTGTTGTTTCCTTTTTTGTGTTTAGTTTTTATAACTTTATTCATATAAATCTAAAACCAGTTTATTAGGTGTATGTATATTCCAAAATTTAGGTGAAGCCCGTCAGGGTGAAACATGTCAGTAGGGGCAGCCTGTAAGCAGGGACTGTGTGGATTGTATAGCTGGCTAAATCCACTGAAACTGTTATCAGTGTGAAGCTTTCTTTAATTGACAATTAAATTTATGTCTAGACCACAAGGAGAAAAAGCAGTATGTGACTCGTAACTATTCTTCTCTTCCCATAGGCAAAGTATAAAATATATATGTAATATGTTTTTGGTTTTGGTAAAGCAGTATATTGTGAGCTCCTGATTTATCACAAAATTGAGTTTATGCTCATTTAGAGATTCGGTCTACAGGAAGGGAATTGGTACTTGTATGCAAAGTGCATTTTATTCAAAGAAGCTTTACAACAGATAAAGGCCATTGTTTACACACATTTTAAAATATCATCAGATAGCTTAGGATATTCTTGTCTGCTCTTATTATCCAACACAGATCTCTTCTCATGTCGACAAGATCGTGTCAAATGGCGGCCTGCAGCTGCTGCAGAGAATATATATGCTTCGTAAGGATTCTCAGAAAATACAAAGAAGCATTATGCGCATTATAGGAAACCTGGCCTTACATGAGCATCTGCATGTAGATATAGTGGACTCAGGTAATAAAAACTAGCAATAGTTTTTTTTTTTTTTCCCTAAAAGCTTCCACAATATGTGAGTTTATATTGTTTTATTAACATATTCACATTAGATTATTTTCTCCGTGTAACACCATGTCACCCACTCAAAAGGCCACTCTGCAGTATTTTATTCAATGGAACTGCAGCATCATTTTTATTTGTTTTGAATAGGGATGGGAATGTCTAGTAAGAAATGTCAAAGGCATTTCCCTTCACTTCGTGAATTATTTCCTTTCACTTCCTTTTTTTGTCAGCATTACATAAAGTGAAGGAAAATCTCCCCAGTGAGGAAACAGACAGCAAAGAAATCCAACAGGGGGACTAAGCCTTCCCTTACCTGTCCAAAAAAGAATTTTGCCTGGAAAAACATTTTAGAATATTCATGCAATACAGTGGACCTGAACTCTATGCCTCTTGCACACTGTACTGATGTATGAGCATCAGACATTCCTGGCAGAAAAAAATGTGAGAATGGGCTGTATATCACTTGCGACTCTTTGTAAGTATGCACACATAAGCAGAAAATTTAGCATTTGCGCGTATTTGTGAGTATTTGCGCACACATGAGAGAGTATACACGCAAAAATACTGACTGGCAACTCAGATTTATATATTTTTTTTCTGATCAGTAAGCAGAGCACGTGTATGGGCCTGTGTGTACAGGCACATTGAAAACAATGGACTGCTTTTAGATCAGCACAAGAACTCGCCTGTATGCCCAAAAGCTGAGCAGTTTATGACAACAGTGTGCAAGAGGCCTAAAAGTGAACATTTGCTATCCTATAGGATTGTGTTTTTTTTTTTTACAAAGTTTTTATTGAAGGAGCTTTTCATGTAATACAGTTATTTTTTTTACAGTACATATGGAACAAAGTTGGCAACATGGGCAAAGAAAAGTTTAAAGGAACAGTCATTCTTAACCTTAAGCACCACATGGTTTGTGCTTAGTATTAAGTCATGTTTTTGCCAAATGTTAAAAAAATCTTAGCATTTCAGGTTTGGTTTCCATTAATATATATGTTGAGAGATAGATTAGGAGTGAGTGTGGGTATGAAGTCATACTAGATGTAAAGGTAAAACTGGATAGGGAAGGTAAATTAACTAGTAAAGAGAAGGGTAAGGGAAAAAGAGGGAATAAAAACTTCTGTATTGTTATATATTTTACCTGTTCTTTGGATGCAGTAGGGTTGATTTACTGAAGACAAATAGGCTACTTGCATGGGCATTTAACCTAGAGTGTGGTGAATAGGGTGAAACTCTGCTGACAATCAAGCAAAAAAAAATATATTTTTTTAAAATTTTCCTTGCATATTCTTTTCAAAGTGAATTTCTCACCACATTCACTGAGCTAAGGGAAAATTCCCTTGCAAAGTGCAAATTCCCTTGCAATGTAAGCTGCTTGTATGCCTTTTTTCTTATATCAACCTGTGTGTATTTTTCATAGTCCATTTATTGCTTCTATCGTAAGCTTAAAAACAGACTTTGTAACTGCAGAAAATTCCCTCTAGTTATTTGCATAGGTTCTGATAAATTCCTTATCCCTTAGGCTGGGTCTCACTCTTGGCTGAAGCCATGAAATCTCCATATGTTATCCAGTCTTCACATGCTGCTCGAGCACTGGCTAATGTGGATCGTGAAACGGTTACCGAAAAATATCCGGATGGTGTTTACATTCTACACCCACAACATAGAACAAGGTAATCATGATTGATGTTGTAGATTAGTCTTGATGTGTTCAGAAAGGTTATTAAATCAATATTTTTTTCTTTTTTTTAACAAGTTGATGGGTACTCACTGTTCATCTTTGTCTGAAATCATGAAGCTCAGTTGCCCAAATCCCTTTGAATGATCATATCATATATCACTTAAACCTCCTTACTGGACATAGTGGGAGATTTACTAAAACTAAGGCACTTAGAATTTGGTGCAGCTGTGCATGGTAGCCAATGGGTTTCTAACTTCAGCTTGTTCAATTAAGTTTCGACCATAAAACCTGGAAGCTGATTGGTTTATATGTAGAGCTGCATCAGATTTTAGTCAATCTCCCTTATAGTGTCTGTAACAGTTTTGCAATTTACAATATTATCAGGAACCATAAACCAGGGGGAGACAGAAAGTGCAGTTAAAATCACACCTTTTATGAAATAGCGAAAAATAACAGTTCAGGAACGTAGTCAAAATAGGAGCCAGGGTTTGGATGCCAGAGTAGGTAATCAGACGGGCCAGGGTCAGGAAACCAGAAGTCAGTGTAGTCAAGAGCCAAAAATTAGAAAGAGGAATTGGAAGATTAGTCAGCCAGACTGAGTTGTACACAGGAACACACAGGAGATCATAGACCACGCAAGGGCAAGGAGGAAATTAGCTAACCTGCTAAAATAGCAAAAAGGGCTGGCTGTAGGCTGGAGTAATGAGGCAGGTTATGTTGTCCAGGTGAGTCACAGTGGAGATGAGTGGCTGGTAATTAACAGACAGCTGAACAGCTTCTGAGTACTGAAAGAAAAGAGCTGATCATTAAGTAGCAGGTGCCCAGCCCTGACAAATATGCCTGGCCATTTTGAAGAACATTTTACCGTTACTCTAAAATTAGTCTAACTACCATGGTTTTAAGATGTACTGCTGTTGTCTACAGAACTAGATAGATCCTGAATTGCTACACTCCTATATCATAATAGCCTGGGAATTCCACAAAGTATTGTTGTGTTTATAGTGTATGTCTGAAAAAAATATTTAGTAAATCTGTGCAGTACATGCATATTTCCCACTGTTTATTATCATTTAAACATCTTCAAGTACAGAACAATTCCTATTGATCTGCCAGAGAAATGTAATGTGTGTTTGTTTGATCTGACAACAATGTTACTGCTGCACTGAATTCCCAAGCAGAGTTGTCAGCCCTGGCCAGTTCTCACCTGCTCGACTGTAGAACACTTCCCCCTCTGCTAATCTCCATAACATATGCTTACATTCTTAGTGATTTTGTAATAAAATCATGTCTTTAGGAATTCTAGCAGTTCCCTTCATTCCAAGGCTCCTTGAACTGTAGGATGAGTAGCTGATAAATTTTGTAGGTAAACCTCTAAAGTTTTCAATTCGTTCCAAATTATGTGATGAGATCTGTTAAACTAACAATGTTTTCATGCTGTATTTTTTTCTTTAAAATGCCATGTTTAGTCAGCCAGTAAAAGCAGATGTCCTATTTGTCCATGGTTTGTTGGGAGCAGCATTCAAAACATGGCGTCAACAAGACCGGGATCAACCACTGGATGATGGCACTTCCCAGGAAGATGACTATACGGAATGTTGGCCTAAGGTGGCATTCTAATTTTCTTTTTCCATCTGTTAGAGTATTTCTCATAGAGAAGCAGTCCTTGCAAGAAAGTAGAACCAGCTTTATTTGTTGGGCTACCTATATCTCCACATTTAAAATGACCAGCTTAATTGATTACCGTAAATAAAACATTGAGAGATGTAAATGATACTTACCACAGACCTGGCTTCTGTCCAGTTCATTTTGGTGCCAACATTCCTGGGAAACCTGAAAAACTGAAATCTTGCTATATTATGCTTCTACTTAGCCAGAAACTGTGGTATTTATACTTTATTTTTAACAGCTAATTTCTATAATTATCTTTATTGCTTTTATTATTTTATTTCAACATCTAAAAAAGGATTTACCCTCTTTATGACCAGACCATTTTTTGCTTTATCAGCACTGCGCTACTTTAACTGGCAATTGCATAGTCATGCAACACTGTACGCAAATTACATTTTAGCATTTTTTCAGACAAATAGCGCTATCTTTTGGTTGTATTTGACCACCACTGGGTTTTTTTTTTACTATATATAAATGAAAAAAAGACCAAAAATTTAGAAAAAAAACAAACAAACAATATTTTCTCATTTCTGTTATAAAACATATCTAATAAAAAAATCTAATTTCTTTATAAATGGAGGTCAAAATATATTCTGCTACATGTCTTTGGTAATAAAAATCCCAATAGGTGTATATTAATTGGTTTGTGTGAAAGATATAGCAAAACTATACTATACAAACTATGGTATACAGTATATACTGGGATATCCACAGCTACAGTATAGACGCTATACTGTAATGGTGGGGATCAGTGACTTTTAGTGGGCCTGTGATAGGGTGGCAGGCAATCTGACGCTAACGGACACTATCTTGGAGGGTCACTAACTGACACTGATGTTGCTAGTGACACTAATACATTGATCAGTGATAATACTGTACACTGACACTGTACTAATGGCACTGGCTGGGAAGTTAACATCTAGGGACAAAGGATTAACTGTGTGCCTAACAATGTATAATTTGTGCTGCTTTTACTTACTATCTGGCTACAAAGCAGGGAGAAGAAACAGCCAGATCGCTGTTTCTGTGCACAGAGTTCTGTGTATTTATAAACACAGAACTCTGTGTGTGATTGCACACAGCTGATCAGCTGACTTCAGCCAAAATCATTGGCTGAAATCAGTTGCCAAACTCGTGCTGTGTCCAATCACAGCACTGGTCAGAAGGGGGCGCATGCATGTGCGCCACGTAACTCGGAAGAATCAGCTGCTTTACAGGTACATGATCATGCCTGCACCTTCAGCCCACTTGCAGTATATTTACTGTGAGCAGTCAGCAGGGGAGCTGTGTTTTTTTTTCCACGGGGAGGGAGGATTTCGGGTGTTAATTTGAAGTGAAGCTATTTAATTGTGATATATTTTGTAATTGTAATAATTTCAGATGTATTTATTTAGATGTTGAAATAGAATACTAAGAGCAATAAAGATAATTAAAACAAATTAGACATAAGCAAGGGTTAGGCCATTGTTAAAGAAGAAATGTGGGGAGCTAATTTGAAGTGTTGATTAGCAGTGGAGCTAGTCAACTGTGATTATATTTTGTAATTGTAATATTTTTGGACCTATTTTTTAGATGTTGAAATAAAATAATAAAAGCAATAAAGATAATTAAGAAAAAAATTAGACATAAGCAAGGGTTAATAGAGTTTAATGCTATTTTAGCGAAAAAATATAACTGTAAATAGGAACTTCATTAAATATACTGTAAATAGGAACTTCACTCAGGTTTCAATTTAGAGAATATAGAAAATTTGTTGTGCTAGAATGGCTTCCCAAAAGCCAAACATTTATGGTCAAACACTGTCATCTAGAGAAATGGACATGTTGGAGCTTAAAGTAAGGGACAAAGGTCACAGGGGTATGTTTATCTATGACGCTACCCCCAGACATAATCCCTTTAATTTTATTTGGGTAACTAACACTGGCCATTGGCAGATTTTTCTCCCAGTGGAGATATCTCCCCATTTGACTTCCCAGCTGAAACTACTTATTATTATTATTATTATAATACAGGATTTATATAGCGCCAACAGTTTGCACAGCACTTTACAACATTTTTTTTTATTATTATTATACAGTATTTATATAGCACCAACAGTTCGCTCAGCGCTGTACATTACAATGGGGGACAACACATGAGACAGTACAATAACAATACAGTGCAAAACACGAGGGGTTCGAGGGCCCTGCTCCTTGGAGCTTACAATCTAGGAGGGAGGGGATAGTGGTGCAAGAGGAAAAGCTGTGGGGGATGGAGTGGTAGGAAGAGTGGAGGAGATCGGCAGTTAGCAGAGGGTGGGGTAGGCTGAAGGTAGACATTACAGTTACAATACAATTTGGTACAAGAGGAAACAGAGGGCCCTGCTCGTTAGAGCTTACAATGCATTTTTTATTGAAGCTAACCTTTGATTATAGATTTTTTCATCTTATGTTTTTCGAAATTGTCCAAGATTGTGACTGATTTACTTTTTTTATATAGTGTGGGAGGTAAATGTTACGGTACCTATTGCATTCTATAGCTTTTCCCAGCAATCCCGCATGCCTTCTTCTGCCAGGACAAGGGTAATGGTCTGGGAAAAGGCTTTCCAAAAAATGTGCTGGATTAGATGCTTACCTGCAACCATTGCATTGATATTTTTTACAGTGTAGCAATGTTTTGAAAACCTTATTTTTTGGCTTGGCCACTTTAGATCTATTGCACTATTGCAAGCATCCATTCTTTTGCTTTACTTTAATGAATAAATGTTTGTCTGAAAGCATGTTTTCATTTATCAGGATTGGCTTGCAGCAGATTGCCCAGCATTAAGAATTATTTCTGTGGAATATGACACTCATATAAGTGACTGGAAAGTTAAGTGCCCAGCAGACAGTAACAGGTATTTTCAAAAAGAAAAATGCATTTTTTTTTCTATTACATGAGTTAACAAAAAGAAGTAGTTAGCTCCTTGAGATATGCTTTTATAGCAGCCAGGTGGAATTTTAAAAAATATCCAATTAAACATCTGCTAAACGTATTTAAGTTGCACTCTGTTACCTGTATCCTACCTTATACTGAAGTATTATTATCCCTTGTACAGAAGTAATTCATGCCATTACTCTTGCTATCCCACCTAACAGTACCTGTGAATAGAGGTGGTTGTAAGCTCATTGTTGCTTCCTCTTATGTCCCAGCTTCATTGTGAAAACTGTGTGTAAAAAGTGACTTTAACTTTTACTTTAATTTCTTTCATCTGGCTTTTCCCATCCATTGTGTGGAATTTGTTTACTATTGGCTGGCCCCAGCCAGTAGAAAGAATAATAATTCCAGCCAATTGGCAAAGCAGGAATTAGGTAGTTGTACGTAGGCAAAATGAATAAAAAGAGACTTTTGAAGAAAAAGACAAGCATAAGTAGAACATACAAACTCCATGCCTGATAAAAACACTTAGCCACCATGCTGCCAGCAAGGATTTTAGAAAATTATCCCAACTGCTGGCTATAGGCACCAGACACCTCTCAGAGTACAATGAACAGTAGCTTCCCAATACTGAATGCTCCTGCATTCACTGTACCATTTCTTATGACTTGACAGACAAAATAGAAAAGACATACAGTACATGTGGGTAAATACATTCTTGACCTTAATAAAAGGATGGGGTGGCCCTAAACACAGTGATTTTCCAATAAATTAGAAAATCTATTTGCAAAAACAAGTTGTTCAAGCTCCACAAGCCTCTGGGTGTTGGACATGCAAGGCTTTCCTTTCCATAGTTTGGGTTTAGGTTCTGAGTACCATTAGAAGAGACAATCGCATTGAAAGCAATGAGAGACCAAAGGGGGGGGGGGGGTTTGAGCATGTAAACTGAGGTTCCTTCTGTGAGCTCTGTCACCAAAGGTATACGGGAGCAATTGCATCTATATGTATAGACATCTAAAAACACTTCTATATCAAGTATGTGTACTACTCCTTTTTTGACAGCCTAGGAAAACACTTCTATATCAAGTCTACAGCATCTTATGCCTAATCTGCAATCAAGCTTAGTTCTGTCCTCCATCTTGTGAGAGCTCATGGTCACAAAAGCTTCCTGCATTTCCTTTGAGAGTGTTTAGAACTGTTTATCTGCATTACCCTGCCCATCTAAATTGCTGTTAATCTTCTTAACCTCCTCGGCGGTATGATTCTTTCCAATTTTTTGTGCTGAAAGCGGTACCATTTTTTTTTTGCATGGAAATATGTAGTTTTTTATTGTAGGCTGTAATTTTTAGGAATAACTCACTGAAATCTGTACGAACAAGAGTCTAGTAAACATTCCGGATATGATAAAACTTGAAAACACGAAATCATAAATTATAATTTAATAAATAATCATAAAAAATAATAATAATATAATAATAATTAATTGAATTCAATAATATAATCAAACCAAAAACACTGAAATTTGAAATACAGAGGCAAATTCGCACATCACTGAGCAAAGTCGCAAAATCGTTTTCAGCGTCTGATGACGAATTTCCCCACGAATCATTATCACTCAATTCTGAAAGTGGTTCTGATTTACTATCGCTGTTCTAAAACCGCTTTTGACGTAAAAGGGACGCTTTTTGGACGCCATGGACTTTTCTAAGTTTCCAGGCAGAAAGAACAGTCAAAATGCAGGCAGGGCACAGGACAAAGCAGTTGGGACAAAATATATGTGAAATGCATTGAAACAGCAAAAATGACATTTTTAAAAAATTTCAAATTTCCTGCCGGTTCCGGCGCCCGTACGTCCCGACGTCACAGGGACCGAAACACGGAAGCCGGATGCCGGCATCGGCCGGAGGAGATGGCCGGGTACGCTGCAGCTGTTGGATAATGAGTAAGGAATCCCATGTCCAAATTAAGGCCATTATCTCTTGTATCAAATAGAAATATAATTCTTAGTTCAAAAGTTTTCCTTTCCTGAATAGTTTTGAAATTTCCTTTAAGAACTAAAATATTGAGGTCTTCCATAATGTGGTCTGGTTGTGCAAAATGGTGTCCCACAGGTGTGCAAAAGTCATCTTCTTTATGTTCCTTGATGGTATGTCTGTGCAAATTCATCCTTGTTCGCAACTTCTGTCCTGTTTCGCCAGCGTAAGATCCTTTGCTACATTTTCTGCACTGGATAAGGTACACAACATTACTGGAGGTACAGCTGTATGATCCAGAGATATTGAAGATCCCTTTTGAGTGTCTGACACTTTTTGATGAATTAATTTGGTTGCAGTTTGCAGCGTTTTTTATTGCAGGGTTTGCTTCCATTATTTGGGAATCATACTCAGAAGAAAGCTTCCTACTGATTAGTTTATTTCTGAGGTTGGGGGGTTGTCTAAAAGCCAGTATTGGGGGTTGCAGAAATATTTATTTCAGAGTTCCATCCTCTGTTATGATGGCTTGTAAATCTTTGATAATTTTTCTTATTCCTTCTAGTGCTGGGTTTTATGTAGTTACTAGAGGTACACAGTTGTTTGTTTTTTTCTCTTTGTACTGAAGCAGATTTTCTCTTCAGGTTCTCAAGGCTGTGTTTATGCTGGCGTTGATAGTTTTCTCCTTGTAACATTTCTTATGGAAGGAGTCTGCTAGTGTCCCAAGATGTTTATCTCTGTCTCTTGGGTCAGAACATATTCGGTAGTATCTAATAGAAAATGATGAAACAGAGTTCTCAAGCAATGTGTCAGACCTATGGAACAGAACTGCACACTGCATGTCAGTTGTTACACATTCAAATAATGGTGCAGCAGAAATAAGAGACTCTATAGATCACTTATCTATCACCTATGAATGCTATCAGCAGCTCTCTGCAAGATTTACAGCCTTCTTAAGGCACACTAACATAGAGGACTGTTTAGCAGAACTAGCTAAAACTGAAGCTTTGAACCAACACAGAGATCTGTTAATGCAAGATGCTAAGGAAAAGTTTGCTTATAGCATTTATCATAGATCCTGTTACTCCACAAGATCAACGTTAAATGACAAGTTTATACAGGCCTGTGCAAATGTAGAAGCAACTAAAGTGCGAAACTCCTTTGCTAGAAAAGAAGCAGAAATGGAAGCTCAAATGAAGATTCTCCAAATAGTAAAGGAAGAAGCAGCTGCCCTGGCAAGTAATGGGAGAAAGTAACAATTCAGATAGTCTCATCCCAGAAGAACTAGAAGATCCAGCTGAACGCACCAGGGAATACATTGTAAAGCACAATATTTGCAATGATAACAGAGCTGTCTCTTGAAACCTCTTGCTTGAAACACTGTTTCGACTCTCAATATCAAGACCTCCAAGCTGCAAATGCCTGCACCACTTCAGATCTGTCACACAGATGTGTCTACACAGCAAAAGACATCACCTCCTACCATTAACAAGGTGACTTCCAGTGACATTCCACAGTTCAAGCTACAGCCAGTAGAAGCCTTAGACACTAAACTACAGATTTAAAGTGTTACTAAATCCATAACAGTAAAATTAGTCTGTATATGGAGTAGAGCATGCTTGTTATACTCACTGTCAGGAGTGGACTGAGAACTCATGGGGCCCTCGGGCAATAAGAGATCATGGGGCCCATCTGTGTCCCTGTCCACACTCAAGCCACAACCACACAATGCTCCACCTACACATTGCAGCTTACAATACAGCAGCTAAACAGAGAGACTTAAGCAGAACAATATCTGTTGAAAAGGCGGAAATTCCACCTGCCACAACCTCATTTACTGATCAGAGTGTTACTGGTAATAGAGATAAAGGTCCCAATTGCCAATACCCAATTCACAAAAAACCTATCCCATAGGGTTTAGGGCAAAGACTTTGCAAGCGTGCAAGGAGCTTATCCAGAAATAAGGAAAATTCTATATGTGCTGTGCCTCCTCAGACCATTTTGCTAAAACTCCAAAGCTGTCAAGTGCAAAAGAAGGAAAATTGAAACAAACAATATAGTTATGTTTCCTACCCCACTTACTGACAATCATCAGCTTCCAAGTGCATCATCCAGACCTTCCTCAACCCATGGTGGGGAGCCACAAAGTCATGTTCCAACTGTCTCCTCTTCACGGACTGAAGTATGTGGGGATGGCTTCAATTCCAAATGCTGTGCCAATGTATGTCTAGTCATATACCCAGAGGGAAACCAGAGCAAGCTAACAGGATGTATGCCTTAGTAGATGAACAAAGCAACAGATCTCTATTTGTATCAACATTGTTTGAGATCTTCAGTTTAAATGCAACACCATATACCCTCAACACCTGTACTGGTAGCATAAGACTTCTGGTACAAAGGCTAATGAGCACATGGACTCCTCAATCAAGGGAAACATGCACATACCCTTGCAACATTAATCAAATGTGATCAATTTACCCAACAACGGCAAAGAAATTCCTACTCGTACAGAATGTTCGACCGCGAACTTCGAACACGAACAATTCACTGAGCTGTATCTTACCGCATCTGAGTATGTGTTAAGATACCACTCAGTTACTGAAATACTGGATGAGTAATATTATTAAGTAATGCGATATTTTAGTAGTGAAACATTCTTTAATGTTTCAGCTGTTAGCGGGGTTCCCCCGCTGAGAGCTGAATGTAAAATTAATTGCTGGCATTGCCTGACAATTAAAAAATTTTTTTTAAATGATGTAGGGTCCCCCTCCCATCCATAACCAAGCCCTTTGGGTCTGGTACGGATTTTGAGGGGACCCCCGCACCAACATTTTTTTAAAAAATGTTGCGGGGGTCCCCCCAAAAATCCATACCAGACCCTTATCCGAGTATGCAGCCCAACAGGTCAGGGAACCATACCAGGCCACATGCCCTCAACATGGGGGGATTATTTGGGGCAGTGGGGCTCCCCCCCAAAGCACCTTGTCCCCATGTTGATGGGGAC